CAGGCACTGTTAATTTATGTTCTTTTTTTTTACGTAAGCTTAGGTAATCTATCGCAGTAATGTTGCAGAAATACCTCGTTATCTCGCCAAGAGCCTTTTATAGGTATTGAATGCGTCTCAGTGAACGTCCCTCCCCTTCCTGTACAAATGTTCGTCGCTCTCCTGTGCCGCTCAAGATTACTTGCCGTTAACCGTCCCCCTCTCCCCTTTGCACAGGGTGCCGGTGAAAGAGCACACCATGGTGCTGCCGGAGATAAAAGAGGAGCAGGATGACGACGAGAGCGAACACTTTTTCGGCTCCACTTCGCTGGGCAGCATCGCCGCAGAGAACGGCCTCATCGACGGTAAATACCGGAAAACGGACAGAAGTCCGATGACAAAACGGTCGTGTTGATAGTGGATGGTTGAAAGACGTGCCTTATATAACTATATCCACAGAATGATACGCTAATCCAATGAGCAGGAATGAAAAGGAACCACAAATTAGATATTCTGTTTGTTTATGTTTCTTTTATGTTAGCCTAAATTGAAAGAATAAAGGAAAAAACTCACAACAACGAATTAATTAATGCGCGGTCTATACAAATAAACGCTGGCGCCGCTGCATGCACCAGCTTTCGAATATCGTGCTGGCAGACTTCAGCCATTCAATGTCCGTTGACCGTTCGTCTTTTGTCGAGCACGACCCAGTCCGATCACGACCCACAACAAACGCTCCTACACCGCAGTAGGTTACGAACAGGTTACATTCCGCCCGACGTAACAGCTTGGAGTGTCCACCATCGCCAAGTGCCTCTGCGGCGCTCGGAGTGCCCGTGACCCGGTCACGCTCGTAGCCGGGCTAATTTTCTGTCACCGCGCGCCGCGCCGCTCCGTTCACGAGACGCCGAGCGGCGCCGGCTGGTTTATTTTACTCCGGCGCTATTGACCGGGTGCCGGCCGTTTGTTCCGATCGCCGGCCGCGCTGACACGGGACGGCCACGGAGCGACTCGGTCAGCGTACGTGACCGGCGCTGACGTTCAGGTGTTCATTATCGCCTGTCGGCGGCAGACAGTGATGCAGGCGGTGATACGGACCAATGGGCGGCGACGGGCCGGGTCTGAACGGGCCGCCGCGCGGCGGTCGGCGCAAATCACGCCGGCCGATGTCGCTGGTGACGGGTGAAAAGGCGCCCGGACAGAGTACGAGCTCGTGACGCGCTAACTAGCTCCGTTCGTCCAGAGGCGCTGAAAGCTGACGCAATGCCAGGGTGTTCCCGCCGAGACGCCTTTCGTTGCGCTCGGTATATCCTGATCTACGGTATGGGACGCTCCAACTAGGCAAATCGATTACGGTTACAGTAATACGCTCTGAAGAGGGGAGCAAACGGATGAGCAGCTGTCCAGCCGACGTTCGTATAAATTGTTTTAAGGGTTATCTACTGGGAGAAAGGATTGGGCGATAACAATAATTCTGGAGAACATTTAGGACGCATAGACCCTGCGAACGTCTTATTTCGGAATATATTTGTGCGAGCCGCGGAGTCTGAAACCTTTTCAACCATGGGTGACATATGACACAAATCTTCATGGGAATCGTTGCTTGTCATTCGTTGATGAACTATATCCGTTAGCCCTGCTGGTGGGACCCCACTTGATCAGCCGATCAATGACTTGTAAAAAATCCTGTTAATATTTTAGCAAGCACATTCTGCTCGATTTCTGCAGGACTTAAGCATTAAGGATTTGAAGAGGTTGTTTTATCCCGTTTACTGAAATAAACGTTCACTTATGCGGTAGTTATCGATAAGACACCGTAAGACTTAGTGTCTTCTTTGTCATTACTAAATAAGCTAATTTTTGGAGCTTGGATACCTTAAAACGGAGTGTTGTGACCCAAAACGTTACAAAATCTCTATTTTATCTTTGTTTGTGACAAGAGTTGGGAATCTTTGATCACCTCTTTCCATCTATCCAGCCTGAACAGTGTTCCGCCTCCGTGCTCCCACCTACACCCGTGTCGACCCGCCGTCTGACCCGTGGTGACCTCCGGCAGGTCGTGACCCGCGCGTGGGCGCCATGAGTGTGCCCGACGAGGCACTGCTGGCCAGCAGAAACCACGCGTCACCGAACGGCGGCCGCGTCCGTCCCAAGAACCGATCCGAGTCCGCAGGTAGCTGTGGGTAAGACGAGCCACCCCGCCCTGACTTGCCCTGACCTCAACCCGTTCCGACCCAGGCACAACCACCCAACTAGTTATCGATGTGAAAACTTTGACGGCATTCTCCAGGTCGGTTGCTTTTAAAATCATTTCAGTCAATATATTGTTGATACCATGGTTTAACTAAAATAACCACTGCTGCTTTGACTTATTCAATGAGTTGTATAAGCATGAAGCTTCTGACTGAACTGTTGGAAAGCAAAAGCCCACAAATCAGTCGTATTGCGCATTCTTGCCCCCCTTTGAGGCCAGTCTCTCCGCAGCAGCTGCTCAGTTATTTTCGACTCGGCGGATATATTTGTGCTGCGAATTCGAGCCCCAGCCCAGCGTTCCGAACTTCCAAAGCATATCGCATTGCCAAACGGCTGTTTGCCGTCTAAACAGTGACATCCTGTGTTTCCTCAGATCAGTGTTCCGCCGACCACTGGATCACTCGAGCGCTGAGGCTACTCCGCAAGCTGACCGGACGGCCACCTGGCGGCCCAAACTAGACACTCAGTTTTCGGTGACGTCCAGCGGTGTCTCTGACGACGCGGCGCTGCGCCGCGCGGCCGACGGGGAGGGTGTCGTCACCCGACACCCTTCGCTGTCGTTCCCGACCCGGATGGACCGTCAGCTGCCGAAGCGCTCCTCGACCCACTCGGGTCACCTGATCCCGGCGCGGTGGCGGCGCAGGAAGAAGGCAGAGGTCATCTGGCACCCCTACGTGCCGCCTGCCACCAGCGACCAGAGCCTTACCGACAGCGTACGACCCGAGGTCACCTGCCTGATCTCTGAGCTCGACGAGCGACGCACGACTGACGCCTCTCCCCAGGGCAGCCAACATCGGTTCTCTGTGCCGAGTGTGTTTGTCCAGGCGCCCAGTTTCCGACGCGAGTCGCCGGGCGGCTCTCGGAGTCGCAAGACGTGGGCGGACGCAGCGCCTTTCAGCCGCTCCTGGGACGATCGGAACGGCTGCTGGACGGACCTGAGCCCCAGTCCGACGGAGCGCGTCCATGAGCCGACGCCGGCCGACCACAGCCCGGCGCTCACCGACCCCGGCCCCCTGTTCACCGATAGGGGACTGTCCGACCCGGGCCCGAGTCTGACGCGGTCCGGGTCTGCCGCCCAACTTCTGCACCACGTCCCGGTAGACCTAGACCCGTGCGACACGGACGGGGAGCTCTTCGCCTCGGCTCACCAGCTGGAGGACACCTCCTGCGCTGAGGCGTCTGATGAGGACCAGTTTCCTCTCCATCCTCTCCCAGCAGTCAGCAGCCTACCGGACTTTCAGCGAGTGGCTCAGTCGGGATCAGCCACCTCCAGTCTCGAGCGGAAGCACAGTCTGCCCGCCTCGGCCAACAAGCGCGTCCAGATCCTCGAGCCGAGTGAGGTCGAACAGCTGGCACACCGAGCGGTGGCGGCGACGGCGGCGACGGCGGCGACGTCAGCGACGAGCAATGAAACTCCGACGGCGTCTACAGGAACTCGGGACACCACGCTGGGCACGGCAGGGACGCAGGAGTCCCCAGGGACCTCAGGACGCAGGGAACCTCAGACACCTGAATCACCTGGAACATCAGAGCCCTTAGGAACGTCAAGACCCTCAGGAGCGTCGGTGTCAGGGTCATCGGGAACACGAGGTCCTTCAGAGAAGCCAGGCTCCTCTGGGGCGTTATGGTCATTAGGGGCACCGGGCACTTCAGAAATTCAAGGGCCCTCAGAAACATCAGGACACACAGGGGCCTCAGGGCCTTCGGGAGCGCCAGGACCCGCGGAGGCGCTAAGGCCCCCGAGGGCACAAGGTCCTTCAGGAGCACCAGGACCCCCGGGGGCACAAGGACCCTGCGGAGCGCCAGGGCCCCCTGTTCGGACGGCCAGTCTAGGCGCGGGGGAACCACCTGGACCACCGTCCGCCTCTGTCTCTCCCAGTCTTCGGAGGATCGAGGCGCAGCGGGGAACGCGGAGAAAGCGCCAGTAGAGACCCGACGGCTCGGGGCCGGGGTCGGACCGCCCACGCGGTTGTTTTGTGTGATATGCCGTCAGGGCTGTCCTCTAGTCAGCTGGGGTCCGGTGGACTCTCACCGGCGCCAGAGTCGTGGTGATAGACGAGACTAGCCTCCAGCTGGCCATGTCCAGTGGATAAACTGTGTGAGCGGTAGGAGTCAAAGGCTTGCTGTGCTTCATATATGCCTGCATGCGTTGCTACTTTTGTCTTTCAGTTGTATCCGTTCGCGCCCGATTCCGTGCATTGATATTATGAATTATCCGTTTTGAGTTTGGCGAAATGGTAGAATAAAAAGGAGACACTAGAAAATATAGGTAATACGTGACATAGTTAGTCCCGAAAGGCGGCTTCTTCATTCGTCGCGACCGGGCACGACGCGTGAAAGTGTGTGGAGAACGAGAAAGGAGAGCCCCGCATCGACTAGGCTCCATCTGTGTTGTCGCTATCATTATGGTGACGAAGTCATAGGACCTATATCGTAATGTCCGTTGCTGTGCATTTTGTAGCGCCATTTCATTATGAGGATGCCGACTCTATGAGGTACCTCAGCAGTCACCAATGTTTCAGAATATGTTCCGCACTGATTTTGACGCACCTAGTGATTGCAGTGAGGTGTGACCGAGTGTACACCAAAAAGGCTGATTATATACCAAATATACCGATTATCCGCCATAACCGCTGAATACACACCAAATATAGGTACCCCGTATTCACCAAAACCGCTGCGTTTACACCAACGATACCGAGTGTTCATCAGATAAATGAACAGCAGGGGCCAATTGCTAATACTACCGCCTAAATGAAACGATTGTCCGCGGTTCTGAAGTCACCATATATTAGCCATCACTCCTGGATAGTACAGTGGAAGCGTCCTTTTACTGCCGGCCCGTCGTCATCACATCGGGCTTGGTAACAGTGTGCCCAGTGACGACGCCTCACCGGTCGCAGCAGTATCGGGGCCGACAGCTGACCTCAGATCGTCTCAGTCACGATAGTGAGCCTCCCCTGGACGCCCATATGACCCGCTGACTGCACTCACATCCCCTGAATCCCAGCTCCAGACACGGAGAGGGGCAGCACCCGCCCCAGCTTAGGGTCACCCTTATTACCGGAGAGAGCAGCCGATACCATTCCGCTCTCTGTGACCACCTTACACGACTTGCATAAAACGGCTCCGAACAATATTGAAAATATACTGCCTGGCGACATCCGCGCAAGGCTGACTCGTCACCAAGCTGATACAAAACAGCTGAAAAACTCTGCCCTCTGTGCTCAGGGGACACTCCAGGACCCAGCCTGGACCGCCCCGCCCCATTCCATAGTACCTAGATGTGCGGCGTTCATCAGCCGTTGGCGTTTGCGGCTTCGATCTCCTTCCTGACGATGGCCTTGTACTCGTCAAAGCCACCCTCCAGTGCCTTCACAGTGCCGCCGGAGCAGACCCACAGCTCCTTGCAGACCATCCGGATCAGACGCTCGTCGTGGGAGACCAGGATCACGCCGCCCTGAGGGGGAGGAGGCGTCAGATGGGTATGGGGTACTGAGGTCACACCGTGTTATGTGTTTGTGGTGGGATGTGAGGGGGAGGGGACAGCGGGGCGTTAGTGGGTTTCTATGATTACGACGCCCTGTCTATGGTGGCGGCAATGAGAAGCGGGGGGAGAGAATGAGGTTCAGGGGGATAGTACGGGCACATACGTGTAGTATGGAAATAAGATAGAGAAAGCAATGGTTCATAAACACAACTACAAGCTCAGCATAAGAGAACTACAGCATAATATCGAATTCAGGAACTGGTTGAAGGACTAAGACAAACTGTCGCATGATCATAACAATGTGTTTATCAATGGATGGAAACCATTCGCCTCACAAGCAGCACCCAGTGCATAACTCACATTGAACCGGTTGATGGCGTGTCCGAGCGCCTCGATGGTCTCAATGTCCAGGTGGTTGGTAGGCTCGTCAAGGATGAAGAAGTTGGGCCGCGCCATGCAGATGGCTGCGAACGCCACTCTGGACTTCTGACCTCCCGACAGACTGCCCACCTGCGCGGAACAGAGCACGGAAGGAGTTAGCGGATGCGAACGCCATCCTAGACTTTCGACTTCCAGAGAAACTGCTAACCTGAACGGCACAGAACGGCGCAGGAACGGTCAGCTGTGACGAAAACAGAGACATACATAGGCGGAGTGAGCAGCTGCGCTGGAGCGAGGTGATGGCCTGAGGCTATGGACAGAGCCAGCCAGCCGCTCTCGACAAGTGGCGTATAATTGCGAAGACGTGTTCCGTGACATTTCAACGACAGGCGTAACACGGGCAAGATATACCGGACAACATAAAAGCGTGACATAAAACTATAAACATAAGGCATTGACGACTGAAACAATGTATGACATTACACTAGCTCGTGAAAACAGACCGCTGATCTCGGACCAAGCTTTGAGCTGTTTGAGATGTAGCTGAGAAGATTGGTCGCCCGATCCCGCACCGACCTCCTGCACCCCACACCTCGAATCCTGCACCCGCTAGCACCCAGTCAGGTCGGAGAGACAGGACGTTTGGTCCCGTACGTCTAGCTCACCTGTTGTGTGGCCAGGTCTCCGCTGACACCGAAGCTACCCAACTGCTGGCGGTACTCCTCGACGATGCGACCTGAGAATAGAGCCTTGCGTAGGTTAGATACATCAGAGCTTTGAAAAATGGCGTGGCGGATTGAAAATTACACAGGGATCTCACCCTTCCCAGTGAAATCTAGCATTGCTTGATGTACTCTCACACTTGGATATCATTCAAACTACACATTGCCAGCAGTAACCAATGTAGCGGTAACCCTGTAGCGGTAACCCTGTTAGAACAATGTTTTTTCACGGTCATAGCTCCATTATTTTTGTCTAAGACGAGCACAATCGTTCATATCTTTTTTCTGAACATTTGGGTCTACCAGAAATAAATGATAGTGTTCCAGCATTCATTTTAGGCTCAGTGACCTGACACATTCGGTCTAAGCTCAGTGGCCGCGCTCCCAGTGCACCCATCACCCTCCTCTCCTCTCTTACCGGGGAACCGGGCTGCCAGCAGCTGTATCGAGTTGACAGTCATGTCCAGCTGATCCACGTGATGCTGAGAGAAGAAGGCGATCTTCAGGTTGCGGTGCGCGTGTCGGATACCCGAGGTGGGCGTCAGCTCGTCCATCAGAATCTTCAGCAGCGTCGTCTTACCGGCGCCGTTCTCTCCCACCTGTGGGAGCGGGCAGGGAGGGGAGTCTGAGCTCACTGTCCTGCTCGGGAAGGGAAGAGAATACTAAGGGGCAAAAGTCTGGGAATAAGCTGTACATTTGTTGGATATCACAGAAATTGATCCGAAGCTTGAAGTCTGCCGATAGATCATTACCAAAAGTAGTTTAGAAGACCAGTCAAAAATCCAATCCCGGTGTAAAATCGTCCCAGTATCATGTCAATACTACCCATCCACATGTCTGACACAAAACGCATATACTCGAACAATATAAAAATATAGACGATACAGCAAATACTGTCGCGTACCGTTTTCTGCTCCCCATCGCCCCTCTCCCGCTGCCGCCCCGCCGACTCACAATACAGATGCGCGACTCCATGGCGGTGCTGAGGTCCACCTTGCGGAAGATGTACTTGTCGCCGGTCGGGTAGCGGAAGTCCACCTCGTCCAGCTGTAGGATCGGTGGGTGGAGCGGCTCCGTGGGCGGGAATTTCAGCACCACCTCACTCTCTGCCACCACAGGCACCAGCTCGGGGCTGTGAGGGGGGGGGGGAGGGGGAGGTCAGAGAAGGTTTCCTATCTGCCTTCCTGTAGGTCAGAGACCAGAGTAGGCCATCATGGGCTGTGAGGGGAAACACAAGGCCGCAGAGGACTGGCCAGATATTTAGCCAGTGTTGCTTTAACCATAAAGAGACAGCTCACCACGAGACAATCACAACTTGCAATCCGCGGCTATGAGTGGGTTTCGTTTCAGTCAAGGGGCACTCACAGTTTCTCCAGCATCTTGATCTTGCTCTGTACGAGCGAGGCCCGCTTGGCGTTGTAGCGGAACTTGTCGATAAACTCCTGTGCGTGTGCTCTGAACGCCATCTGTCGAACAGAACGAAAATAGGTGTAGAGCTCGGTGATGGCAGATAATAAGCGAAATACGAGAATACTCGTACGAAATACTCGAAATACGAAATACTCGTATATAGCGATCGAGTAACGGATCCAAAGCAACTGACAGGCATGAATGGAGGACATGTTCTAAATTGAATTCAAGGAAAAACTGAGCAGAGAATGAGTGACCTGAAGAAAAGCTACGGCTACGGACAAAGGCCACGGACAGAACATGGTTCAGAATTCAAGGTTACATGAGCACTGACAAGATACGAACATTCAAGAAAATGACTCGAGAATACGACTGGTATAATCATCGTTCACCACATTACCGCGCAGATATCATCACAGTAAATTACCAGCAAATCACCTCTCACTGAAATGAAAGTAATGAAATTGTCTACATAATAAGAGGCTCGCCGGAGTCTTCATGTAAAATTCAGAGTGATTACTCAGAGACCATATTATACCAGTCGACACCGTCTTACCTGAGCCTCATACTCCCTCTGCTGGTTTTTCATCTTCTCGGCCTTGGCCTTCACAAAATGGCCGTAATTGCCCCTGGAAGGAAGCGTGGGAGCATGATAATGGCGAAAGGAAACACAAGAAGCTTTGACACGGTGCACCAAACAGCCACAATTTCCATTCAAGCATCCGTGGAAGGCATTTAGCCGCAATAAGTTAGGGGTATTCTACAAAATTGAAAGCAGCTGGAGGATCAAAATGTTTTTGTTCCTGTCTATCGGTTACATACGGGAGCCATTGTATAAGTTATGTGTATTGTGTGTACTAGAATACGAATCTTACACAATCTGAAAATCCAATTACATTATTACTATGACTGCCAAGCCCCCACATTATACGAAACCCCTCCCTCCCACGACGCGTCTCACTTGTAGCAGTCGATTTTCTGTGTGTGCAGGAAGAGGATGTCGGTGGGCACCACCTCCAGGAACTGCCGGTCGTGCGATACCACCAGCAGCGTGCTCGGCCACGTCTGCAGGTAATCCTCCAGCCAGATGATGGCCTTCATGTCCAACATGTTCGTCGGCTCGTCAAGCAGCAGCAGGTCCGGCCTGAGGGAGGAGGCGGGGTAAAGTGTGTGTACATATATGTGAGTAGATCGAGCGGGGAGCAGAGTAGACTGGAGTAGACGAAATGCGAGAAATTTCGGAGCATACTGCTGATCATCTGCTGAGGCTGCGGCTGTTGCGGATACGTTGGCAAGGAACCAATTATGCTTTTATCTGCCACGCACATCATAATACAAAGGAGAATAGCAATTAAGCAGAGTTGCAAGCAACAAACCTAAACCTATTAATTGTATCATTGTTTACGAAATAGCTGAGTTAATGCAGTCACATAACGTCCCATCGTGGATGGAAAAAATTATATTGTACAGCAATGCATAATTAAATCTTCACGAACCCACAAGCCCACACATACAGTGCGCCCTCCACCGCCACTCACTGAGAGAACAGGGCGCGCGCCAGTGCCAGTCGCATCCTCCAGCCGCCGGAGAACTCCTTGGTGGGCCGTTTCTGCATGGCCGGGGTGAAGCCCAGACCTCGCAGGATGACGGCGGCCCGCGCCGGCGCCCGGTCGGCGTCCGACGCCTGGAGCTGGGCGTACACGGCCGACAGACGCTCTGACAGACCGGCGTCCTGGTGACTGGCGGTGGCGGGGAAAGGGGGAGGTTAGCTGTGCGGTTGGTGGAGGGAGGGGGGAACACTGACCTCACTTCCTTCATACCGTTGGCATATAAAAGGACTAGTGTGAAATATAGTTTACAATTTATGGTTTACAAGTACGGTTGAAATTGCATACGCACGTTAACTGGTTGGTAGAAGACACGGTTCCACCAGGCGTTTACCTCAATCCTTGATTTATGTACTTCGGGGAGAAAACTCATCACTATCAATGTCAAACTACAGGGACAGGTACCATAACAAACGGTAACATTGACTATAATTGTATTATAATCATAATTGCACACAACTTATCTCCGTATATCCCTCCCGGGCTCCCTCTCTCCCAGCCCACCACGCCCACCACCGCTCTCACCCGGAGTTGATTTTCGCTGTGAGCTCCTTCTCCTCCGTGAGCAGCGACTCTCGTGCCGTGTCACACTCGAGTACCGACTGGAGTGCCTCCGTGTCGTCTCCCGTCACCTCCTGCTCCACGTGTAGCACGCTGACGTGCGATGGGATCACCAGCTGACCGCTGAGGAGGGCAAGAAACGGGGAGGGCATGTCAGAGGTGCATCCGACTAAGTAAGTCGCGACTAACAGACGCGAGTAACAGCCTACGAGCTAACAGAGTAACGACTAACATATTTCCCCTAGCAGACGCGAGGGATGGTCTACTGGTCTGCTTTTACAAATATGAATAACAACATCGGTGGCGTTCTGTATCCAGATCGCGATCCCCGATCCCCCTCAATGATGATCACTTCCAGTAGTCATAGTGTCTGTTGGATTTCCCCTGAAGTTACAGTCTGAAGCACCACCGTGTCTGGCGATCCTCCCTCTCACGGGACTAGGCCGTCCGCCGGCCACTCACCTGGAGATCATACGCAGCATGGTGGTCTTCCCGAGTCCGTTCCGTCCGACGAACCCGTACCGGCGGCCGTACACCAGCGTGACGTCCGCTCCCGAGATGAGCACCCTGACGGCGAGGCGTGTGAATCAACCGGGGAGTCACCAAGGGAGTCAGCAGTCAGCATGAAGACAAATAAACAGGCACCAGGGTTGGCGCAACAATAACGAAAGGAAGCGTATTGTTGTATCCAAAAGCCGCTGAGTGACTTAATATGACGAGATGTGGGTAAAATGGCTTGAAATGCACAATGTATTAAGCTCAAACTTGCTACACCGATACTACGCCGGCCGCCTATCACAATTTCACAAATGTCTTATGGTTAGTTGAAATGTAAATGATTGCAAGACATGTTGCACGCGCTCCCTTGCACACATCGCTAACAAACAACTAGCCAGAACATGGCCAGAACACGAATCGCTCCCTCCACTCGAGGAACCGTCACACTTACACCAGGTGCCAATGTAGCCAGCACCTGCTCACGTTACTCACTTGTCTCCGATGGAGATGTCGAAGTTCTCGATGCGGATGTCCTTGCACATGTTGGCGCCGCGCGCCTCGGCCCGCACGTCACGCTTGGAGATGACCTGCGAGGCCGAGGCCGTCTTCTCGGCCAGCACGGCCGCCGGCGCCGGCGTGGCGTTCTGCTTCTCCAGCTTCTTCTTCCGCATCTCCTCCGCCTTCTCCAGCTTCTTGGTGTCGACACGCTGGAAGGGAAGGATGTGGAGGAGGGGGTGGTGAGATTAGCGGCACACGCATTCAGATTTCAGTGTGAGAGTGGTAAGAACCAGAACGATCAAGTTACCAATCAATATCACAGAACTAGTGTTGCTCTGTCTGCTGATTTTCTCATAGCTCTCATGAGTCTCAAACAAATGATTCGCGCAGGTGATGGCTGGTTATATAAAAAATAATTGTAAATGGGCAAAACACATATCCTGATCAGTGATCACATTTTTTCACTCTTCCCATCTGTACCGTCCTCCCCGTTCCGTACCGAGGCGACCTCCTTCTGTGCTAGCCAGATGCTGGGCATCTCGCCGGGTCCCTGGTCCCCGGCCATCGAGCCCAGGTGCACGGGCGCATCCAGGCGGCGCCGGTCGCCGTTCGCAGCGCCGCCCTGGTGGCCGTCGGGCGAACTGAGCTGCAGCTCGGCCATCACACGGTGGCACAGCCGCCTGTCGGAAGTGGTACGAGGGAAGAGTTATACAGAGAGGAAAGGGAGAGAAGTCGATAAGAGAACTGAGATGGGTTACTAACAAAAGGAGGGACTGTAGAACCTGAATGACTGGACAGTGATGGAGGTGAGGGGCAACGAGAAGGTACTGGAAATGTAGCGACAGGACTGTATGTTGTAACACCATCATTTCATTTACAATAGCTTTTACAATGTAAAGCTAAGCTCATGACATACTGTAATGACAGTCATCGGTTTTGGAAAATGGAAAGAAAATTAGCACTCCTGATAAATAGTGTTTGCTTTTTCAGCTTGATCCACTCAAATCCTATTCACTCTTTTGCCACTAGCTGTTTAAACGGTGATCATTTCCATTTCATTTTGGCACAACATATCATTCAGCCGTTTATGTGCTTGATGGACACACTATCAGAGAGGAGACCGCAGGGAGGGCGTCATTGATTCAGCTGGATTGTTCAGTGTTCACTCACCTGACGTCATCCTCGCTGTCATCGCCCGCCACCTGTTCCACAATGCCTCCAATGGCGTCATAGACGTCATCGCCTGTCTGGAACTCCTCAGCGGACTCCAGCACTCCTGGAGTGACATACGGGAAGGTGAGGGACTACCTAGTATCTGTACATAGTGCTACTCTTATCAGTTGCTGAAGTTCAAAGCACTCATTCAGTCAATGTAGCTATGGTGACTGGCCAGCATTAAACAGCATTAAAACTTTTCCTGAGGTAAGGTTATTAGACGTGAATTGTTGGCCTGATCTTGAGTGACCTGGGTCTGCAATTTTCGCGTGTGCAGATAAGATGCATGACCAGATTTCATAAAGTTCAAAAACTCGAACTTTATGGAGTGAACACTGAGTGGTTCCAAAGTTATCTTTCGGATCATTTTCAATACGTTCGGATGAGCTCGCCACAGAACGAACAGGTGACCTCCAAACCGATGAGAAACCCGATTGGAGTGTACCAAGGTACCTCGCTCGGACCTTTGTTGTACACCGTGTACTCGAACGACATCAGTTTGTACGTAGAGAGCGAGGTGACCATCGTTCAATACGCTGATGATACTCAGCTCCTCGTTACGGGCAGAAAAAGTGACATCGCATCACTGGTCCATCGCATGGAGTGTGCACTTAACACCCTGCATCGCTGGTTTATGCAAAACTCCTTGAAACTGAACTCCAGCAAGACGCAGCTTATAGTATTGGGTACGCGCCAAATGTTACGAGGTGTTCCGCCTGTTACCCTTACCGTGAGCGGCAGTACCATCCACGAGAGTGATCGCGTCAAAAACTTGGGCGTGGTAATGGACCGCACGCTGTCTTACGAGTACCATATAGATCAGCTTGTCGGACGATGTACTGGCCTTCTCATAGGTCTTAGTCATGCCAGATATAGAGTACCGAAAGAGACTCTCATCACTATTGTCAACGCATTGGTTCTGTCAACCGTGAGATATTGTATCAGTGTCTATGGTACTGCGGTCGCCAAAAACATGTCTCGTGTTCAAAAGGTGATTAACTTCGGTGCACGAGTTATTACGGGGCGGCGCAAGCATGACCGCGTGAGTGACGCACTCAGAACTCTCACCTGGCTCCCGGCTCGTGAACTGGTCACTTACCACACTCTGTGCCTACTCAAGCGCATGTTGGTGACCGGCGCTCCTCAGGATATCGCCGAGCAGCTCTCCACAGTAGGAGAGGGGAGAGAGCGCAACACACGGCAGGACGCAGACCTCGCTCTTCCACGGATAAGATCCGAGTCCGGCTGAAGGAGATTTTTGTACCGTGCTGTGTCGGCTTTCAATGCCCTGCCTCTCGCTGTCAGGGAGCAACCACCGGGCGCTTTTAAAAGGAATGTGAAACGGCGTCTGGGCCAATTTTAGAAAGTATGCGTGCTTGTGGGCTATGTATTTTTTTATGTGTGCTTGATTGCGTCACCATCCCCTTGTATTTACTTTTTCACCTCCTATGACACGAACTCAAGAATAGCCATGTTGTATGGATGGGTTCTTAAGTGTTCAATAAACAATAAACAATAAACAGATGTGCATAAAATGGCAGCACTCCGACCCCCCCCCAGACTGGAAAACATCCATACACTACGCCGGACGCACGTGAAACCCTCTTGCGCCGAAATTCAGCGTCAGCGATTTTGCGCAGAAGTTTCTGCATAATTTGCACTATTTTTTTGTGCGCCAAAATTAAAGGGACCCTCCCAACTTAACATTAGATTTGAGTTGAGATAGCCAAAATGGGGTCCCTGGCTCACAATTACCGGTTTCGGCACTCACAACATCGAGAAATGCCTTAAATCGGAAATATTGAATTTCAAAATTGCAGCATTTTGATTCAGAGGGGCTAATGCTTAGGAATACCCCTCTGAATGTGTGACGTCAGCGCAGATATCTAACGATTTTTAAATGTTTGACTAAAACGTTTTGTAGCACGCGGTGGTATATGCTGCTTTGCGCGCAAGAAATGCCGCACTTTCAAATAAAGTCGCTAGAAACAGCGGAGATCCCAAAAAAGTAAACAAAAGTAAAAGTCTAATATCTTGAAAACCGGTGAATATTTTTCGGTGAAATTTGGTAGATATTCGTTTTCGCTCTTTCTGAACCGAGCGACATCACTTTCATGCCAATTCATAAACTTTTTTGAAGGTGGGAGGGTCCCTTTAAGCCACTGGTACATAAAACATGATAAAGCACATGTGCACATCTACCGAACAAGGCTATATCAACCAGACAGAGCGTTCCGGGGCCTTGGATCCCCTCCCATGTTTGAGCGTCCGAATAAGTTTTTTAATTCCACCGAAACCCAATACTTCAATACGCGGTACGCTTAGCGCACTGTAGCGTCGTGCCGTGGAACAAGGTCGGAGCCGGAAATTTCGGAGCCACAAAAATCGACGGAGCGGTGTGTTCGAGGGTGGCGGGAGCCAGCGAGGGCCGGGCAGTGGAGCAGCACATGCTCCGGCAGCCGGCACATTAGACTCTTCTCGGCACAAAGGCAGAGCGCCGCGGGGCACCGCTTATCTGGGCACTGCTGGCACGCCGCGGAGTGGAGACAGCCGATTCAGTGCACATACTGGAGCGAGCGGCCCCAGTGACCCGCCCTAATCTGGTGCACCGAAACGGCATCCACTCGGTCCTCTCCGGGGATAGGGAGCGGCGGCGTGCTCCCGAGGAGTGGCTTGAACAGTGACTTGGACCAGTTGTCGCGCCATTGATGCGAGGCCGCACAACGAACCGCCCTGGTCAGCGAGCGGGCGTTTGAGGGCAGGGCGGCCGAGGCAGCCGCTTGTTTCGCCAGGTCGTCCGCGCTCTGCTCTCATTTCCCTCGATACCGCACCCACTGCAGTAGTTAACGACGCTCGGCGATGAACGATGTTCAACAAGGCTTTCCATGCCTATCTCCACGCCAAGGGTTAAGGCCTCACCAAGGCGACCGCTGCTCTACCGAGTAGGATCAGGGTGGCTCGCAATTCAGAGCACACAACAACTGGGTCGGAGACGTCTCGTCCTGAAACAAAACCTTTCAATAGCCAACCGCAGGGCAAATCTGCTGCTAGATTGACCAGCGCACAGACCCAATTCAGTGACCGTCTTTCAACCAAAAATTATGAGGCCCCCCTGCACCAAAAATTCAGCCACTGCCATGCACTGAATTCTGCACATGCGAGGTAACTCCGGACATGCACTGAATTTTTCAGAGTGATCCCACCACTACACCAGACATTTTCGAGCATATGTATTTTTCAGTCTGCCTGCCTGGTGGTCAGTCTGCCTTGGTGGAAGTTGAAAAATCATCATTAGCAATGAGATTAGGAACACCCCAATAAAACAAAATAAATTAACTAGGTACCTTACCACCTCTGGCCACAAGCTCGCTGAACCAGCTGTTTCTAATTGTTACCGTAACTTTCCGCAAACATGCCCCACATGTGCATGCATATTTGTATTCATACATACCTTCCACATACTGGAAGAGATCATCATCCATGTGCGGGAATGCATCCCGAACAAGTTGGGCAGCCATCACTCCTGAAAATAAAAAAATCTTGTTTTAACACATTATGTACAAACCATGGTACAAACTGCACGCGCCGTAACAAAAAAGGTCAGCCCTTTGCACCAGGGCTGCGGAGTCGGAGTCGGAGTCGGTCGGAGTCGACAGTTGTGACCGGAGTCGGAGTCGGAGTCGATTTTAGAAACCCGAGCCGGAGTCGGAGTCGGAGCCACCGAAAATCTGTCGACTCCGCAGCCCTGCTAGGTCTGCGGAGTCGGAGTCGGGAGTTGGAGTCGGTCGGAGTCGACAATTCTGCCCGGAGTCGGAGTCGGAGTCGGAGCTGGTTTTTGAAAGCCGGAGTCGGAGTCGGAGTCGGAGTCGCCGAAAATCCATCGACTCCGCAGCCCTGCTTTGCACAGCTCAAAACCAATTATTGTTGTCATGATGTCTATGTACCTGTTAGCCAGTCGCCAGTTGTTTAAGGACCTGCGTATTGAACGAAGAATCGCCCCAGAAAAATGACCAAGCGGATAAAAGGGCGCACAATGAACAATGCCTTGTGGCTAAGCCCACCGCCGAGGCTGGAGCGCGACTTCTCACAGCGCTTACAGCTCTGACGAATCTCGCACTCAGCGGCCGGATCCCGGAATTCGCTCTGCGGGCCTTCTTCGGTGCCTCCTTGGTAGCGCTGCGGAAGAAAACGGGAGGCCTGCGGCCGATTGCCATCGGTAGCGTCTTCAGGCGAATTGCTGCTAAAGTGGCAGCCAACAGTGTGTCCAGACGCATCGGGACCGAGCTGAGACCCATCCAACTTGGGGTTGCAACGCGCAATGGGTGCGAAGCTGCTGTTCACGCTGTTCGAGCCTTTGTGAAGCACGCCGTAAGCTCAGCCCAGCCCACGGCCATCATCAAACTTGACGTCAGCAACGCCTTCAACTCCGTAAGGCGGGACACCATGCTCGAAACCGCCCGCGCCAGAGTACCTTCCATCTACCCGCTCATCTGGCAAGCATATGCAACTGCGTCACCGCTATACATCGGAGATTCGAAGGTCTGGTCCCGCACTGGAATCCAGCAAGGAGACCCTCTGAGCTCTCTTCTCTTCTCCATGGCCATTGACGACATATCACAGGGTATCGACTCTGACCTGAACGTATGGTACCTGGATGACGGCACAGTGGGAGGACCACTCGATCAGGTTACCAGCAACATTGGACGCATCAAGGAACAACTTGCCGATAAAGGACTGCAGGTCAATGGCAGTAAGTGCGAGCTGGTTCTGCTGGGAGCCGACAGAGAGGTTTGGCAGCCAGATGCGCTGCTCAGACTAACAGAGCTATTGCCTGACATCCGTCTGACGCGTCCCGAGGAACTACAGCTCCTTGGCGCACCAATCTGCGACGATCAAGTGAAGGCACAGCTCTTGACCGGGAAGCAGCTCGTCAACAAACTCGTGAGCCGAGTGCAGTGTCTCGAAGAAGCGCATCATGCATTCTATCTCCTGAAAAATTATGTGTGCGCACCACGTCTCCTGTACCTTCTCCGCAGCGCTCCTGCATTTCGTAGTGCAACAATCCTCTCAGAAATTGACGAGCTTGTTCGGCAAGGCATCACGGCTGTCACAAACGTGGCACTGCAAGGTGAATCATGGCGACAGGCTACTCTACCTGTGAGTCTGGGTGGACTTGGAATCCGGAGGGTCTCTGACTTAGCTCTTCCAGCATATATTGCATCGCTAAGATCCTCCGCTCCCCTGATCATGGACATCATCCCCAGCATGGCAGAGAGCATCGATCGGCTCGAGACATCGTTGCACCAACGGTGGAAAGTGGAGACTGGGCTCGAGCTCCCGGACGCCTCCGAACAGGGACGGCAGCGCGTTTGGGATCTAACCGCGGCAGCCGCTGAAGCTGCGAAGCTGCTCGAGGCTAGTCCCGATGACAGACACCGTGCCCGACTTCACGCAGCAGCGCAGTCGCACTCCGGTGCATGGCTGAACGCACTGCCTGTGCCCAGTCTCGGAACACTTCTCGACCATGAAACTCTCAGAGTAGCTGTTGCTCTTCGAGTCGGCGCTCCGGTATGTGCTCCTCACCGCTGCCGGTGCGGATCCACCGTCGACACCCTGGGGCTGCACTCGCTGTCTTGCCAACTGAGTGCGGGCCGTCTGCCGCGACACTCCGCGCTGAATGATGTCATAAAACGCGCCCTGCACAGCGCAGGCATGCCATCAGTGCTGGAACCAACAGGCCTTGATCGCGGCGACGGCCGGCGCCCGGATGGGATGACCACCTTCCCCTTCACCGAAGGCAAGTGCCTTATATGGGATAGCACCTGCGTCGATACATACGCCAGCTACATCATCGGTAAATCGGCGGTCCATGCAGGAGCTGCAGCAGAAGCCGCCGAAAGCCGGAAGAGGCGCCGCTATGGAGCGCTGGAAAGGCGTTTCAAGTTCCAGCCCATCGCCGTCGAAACGAGTGGCTCACTGGGACAGTCCACTGTCCAGTTCTTGAAGGACGTAGGTCGGCGAATAGCACGTGAAAGCGGCGACAGGAGGGCTACAGAGTACCTCTTTCAGCGAGTGTCGCTTGCCGTGCTCCGTGGTAACGCCACGTCACTTCTCATGGGAGCAGCCCACACAACTGGAAGCAGCATTGAACCCAACGACAAGGACGACACCAATTGGCAAGCTGGGGGCAGTGAAAACTCGTGTGAATCGAGAAACAGGAACGACCACGAATGCTTACTCGATACGCATGACGACAAAGGCTCCGATATTGCTGTGAACGACCTCGCCACGATCCAAACAGATACCGAAACCCCTTCTCTGATGATAGAGACGGAGCAGCTTCCTAGGTCGACAGACCTTCTGAAAAAGTATCGCGAGCTCTATCAGGAAATGCGGGCACAGTTTATTGCCCAGGGCCTGGACCGTGACCCTATGTCTGACCCTGAACTAGCGAGATACCTGTCTCGTGGGGGCAAAGGGAGCAAATAGGGGAATGGATATGGGAGCGTTTTTTTTTTTTTACTGCACTGTGTACAATGCGTGACCTGTCAAGTATGTGTTTGAATATAACATTTAAAGCGGATAAAAAGGAAATAAATATAAAATACCTATCCTCCCCACACTGCGCCTCTCGCTTAGCCGGCGTGAAAACCAAACAACGTTTACTTGACACATAAAATGTTTTAAGTCGCAAATGACGTCATAAATATCATACAGATAAATTTTTTTAATGCAAGGTCAGTTTTTAACAGCAGAAATCTTATACTTATCATAGGCTTAATTCATTTTTTGAATTTCATTCATGAAAATAAAAGCTTTCCGTAGTTATTTCAAAATGAAAATGTCCTGAAGGCTTGAAGTTTTCATTTGTTTTAAGAACGTCACTGTAGAATCCCCATACAATAACGTTCATAAAGTTGGCTTCAAATTCGGATTCGGATTCCAGCACCACATTCGTGGAAAAAATGACAAAAACGGACCCCTCAGAATCGATTTAAATTAACAGGGTAGATAGAGCAGGACATGCTTATTATGAAAATAAATCACCTAGGCTTGGCACCCCCTAAGAACTGAGGAATCTTAGGTCAAAGTTCAAGGTCATTCTCGGCGGACCCTTTGGATTCTCGTAAAAATTGGTACAACTATAGTCCATGAAGAGCTGATTTCAAAAATATCAGTTTCTTACTTTGGCAAGCAGCACGAACTGATATATAGTAGGTCAAAGGTCAGAATCAAGGTCACGTATGTGTAATACAGGAAGTGGAAGTGACCACGTGGCCAGGTGAGAAAGGAGGACCCCTTAGATTTCAATAGTTTTTTGCTCAATGATGCAACCAATGTTGGAGATGCTACTGCTGGTTTTTCTTGTTTTGGCAAGGTCAAACTACGGAGAAATGACGGGTCAAAGGTCAAGGTCATTTTTAGCGGACCCTTTCGATTCACATATAACTTTGTTTGCCAATAAAGTTTTTAATGCTGGTTATTATTCTGCGTATTGTTAGGTTTGGCAGGTCTTAAATTATTTTAAAATATTTAAATAATTTAACATTTAATTCACCTATCCCAACATGGCTACCGTGCGAGCACCTATCAAAACCTTGATGAAAATAACAAACCGAAAGTCGGAGAAACGCGATTTGACCTTGGACGTGCTCCGTGTCAGTGCACTGGCCTAAGGCGTGCTGAAGAACTTGATTTGGTAGGTACAGTGTGTTTTGGTGTGGGTTATTGTAATTCTAATCTATTGCACGTTGCCTGATTTATGACACAACTTACAAAATTGAAATTGCAGTCGTAAGTAGTGTCATTGTCGCAAGTTGACCTTGCCTTGGGGAAGAGGTCACAGGTCATTCGGGTCATTGTCTCGAAATTTACGTGGTACGTGTAAAATTGTTTGAACTTGAGATCCTGAAAATTGTGTTGCAATCCGTTGATGCTAATGCAAGTTATAGAGCTTGAACTGACAGGTTGTCTATGAAGCCTCCATCCATGCCAGCGAGAGTGTTGAAAATGGTGCATAATATGTTTCCAAAAACGTGTCCCAGATGACCCCCATGACATCCAATGACTTCTGTGATGACCCCAAGTTGACCTATTTGACCTGACCTGTCCCAGATGACCTCTGTGACCTCCAGTAAAGCTCTGATAACTCCAAGCTGACCTCTGTGACCTGGCATGTCCCATATGACCTCTGGACTGTACCGTAAACCAGTCCAATTGAGCTCTCTGATAACCCGAAGTTAACCTCTGTGACCTGACATGTCCCATATGACCTCTGTGACCTCTAAGTGACCTCTCTCATGACCCCAAGCTGAACTGTGTGACCTGACGTGTCCCAGATGACCTCCGTGACCTCCAATTGAGCTCTGATAACTCCAAGCTGACCTCTGTGACCTGATATGTGCCAGATGACCTGTAATTGAGCTCACTGACGACCCTAAGTTGACCTTTGTGACCTGACGTGTCCCATATGACCTCTGCGATCTCTAAGTGACCTCTCTGTTGACCTTAAGCTGACCTCTGTGACCTGACGTGCCCCAGATGACCTTCGTGACCTCCAATTGAGCTCTGATGACTCCAAGCTGACCTCTGTGACCTGATATGTCCCAGATGACCTCCAATTGAGCTCACTGATGACCCCGAGTTGACCTCTGTGACCTGACGTGTCCCATATGACCTCTGCGACCTCTGAGTGACCTCTCTGATGACCCCAAGTTGACCTCTGTGACTTGACGTGTCCCATATGACCTCTGTGACCTCAAGTGACCTCTCTGATGACTCCAAGCTGATCTCTGTGACTTGAGATGTCCCAGATGACCTCCAATTGAGCTCTGTGATGACCCAAGTTGACCTCTGTGACTTGACATGTCCCAGATGACCTCCGTAACCTCCAATTGTGCTCTTTGATGACCCCAAGCTGACCTCTGTGACCTGATGTATCCCAAATGACTTCTGTGACCTCTAAATGATCTCTCTGATGACCCCAAGCTGACCTGTGTGACCTGACGTGTCCAAGATGACCTCCGTGACCTCCAATTGAGCTCTGATGACTCCAAGCTGACCTCTGTGACCTGATATGTCCCAGATGACCTCTAATTGAGCTCACTGATGACCCCAAGTTGACCTCTGTGGCCGGACGTGTCCCATATGCCCTCTGCAGCCTCTAAATGACCTCTCTGTTGACCTTAAGCTGACCTCTGTGACCTGACGTGTCCCAGATGAACTCCGTGGCCTCCAATTGAGCTCTGATTACTCCAAGCTGACCTCTGTGACCTGATATGTCCTAGATGACCTCCAATTGAGCTCACTGATGACCCCAAGTTGATCTCTGTGACCTGACGTGTCCCATATGACCTCTGCGACCTCTAAGTGACCTCTCCGATGACCCCAAGCTGACCTCTGTGACCTGACGTGTCCCATATGACCTCCACGACCTCTAAGTGACCTCTCTGATGACCCCAAGCTGACCTTTGTGACCTGACGTGTCCAAGATGACCCCCATGACCTTCAATCGAGCTCTGTGTTGACCTTAAGTTGACCTTTTTGACCTGACGTGTCCCAGATGACCTCCATGACCTCCAGTTTAGCTCTGATAACTCCAAGCTGACCTCTGTGACCTGATATGTCCCAGATGACCTGTAATTGAGCTCACTGATGACCCTAAGTTGACCTCTGTGACCTGACGTGTCCCATATGACCTCTGCGATCTCTAAGTGACCTTCTGTTGACCTTAAGCTGACCTCTGTGACCTGACGTGTCCCAGATGACCTTCGTGACCTCCAATTGAGCTCTGATGACTCCAAGCTGACCTCTGTGACCTGATATGTCCCAGATGACCTCCAATTGAGCTCACTGATGACCCCAAGTTGACCTCTGTGACCTGACGTGTCCCATATGACCTCTGCGACCTCTAAGTGACCTCTCTGATGACCTCAAGTTGACCTCTGTGACTTGACGTGTCCCATATGACCTCTGTGACCTCAAGTGACCTCTCTGATGACTCCAAGCTGATCTCTGTGACTTGAGATGTCCCAGATGACCTCCAGTTGAGCTCTGTGACGACCCAAGTTGACCTCTGTGACTTGACATGTCCCAGATGACCTCCGTAACCTCCAATTGTGCTCTATGATGACCCCAAGCTGACCTCTGTGACCTGACGTATTCCAAATGACCTATGTGACCTCTAAATGATCTCTCTGATGACCCCAAGCTGACCTGTGTGACCTGACGTGTCCAAGATGACCTCTGCGACCTCTAAATGACCTCTCTGTTGACCTTAAGCTGACCTCTGTGACCTGACGTGTCCCAGATGAACTCCGTGACCTCCAATTGAGCTCTGATTACTCCAAGCTGACCTCTGTGACCTGATATGTCCTAGATGACCTCCAATTGAGCTCACTGATGACCCCAAGTTGATCTCTGTGACTTGACGTGTCCCATATGACCTCTGCGACCTCTAAGTGACCTCTCCGATGACCCCAAGCTGACCTCTGTGACCTGACGTGTCCCATATGACCTCCACGACCTCTAAGTGACCTCTCTGATGACCCCAAGCTGACCTTTGTGACCTGACGTGTCCAAGATGACCCACATGACCTTCAATCGAGCTCTGTGTTGACCCCAAGTTGACCTTTTTGACCTGACGTGTCCCAGATGACCTCCATGACCTCCAGTTTAGCTCTGATAACTCCAAGCTGACCTCTGTGACCTGACGTGTCCCATATGACCTCTGTGACGTCTAAGTGACTTCTCTGATGACCCCAAGCTGACCTCTTCGACCTGACGTGTCCCAGATGACCCCCATGACCCTCAATTGAACTCTGTGTTGACCCCAAGTTGACCTCTGTGACTTGACGTGTCCCATATGACCTCTATGACCTCAAGTGACCTCTCTGATGATTCCAAGCTAATCTCTGTGACCTGACATGTCCCAATAGGTAACCCCAAATTAACCTCTGTGACCTGACATGTCCCATATGACCTCTGTGACATTTAAGTGACCTCTCTCATGACCCCAAGCTGACCTGTGTGACCTGAGGTGTCCCAGATGACCTCTGTGACTTCCAATTGAGCTCTGATGACTCCAAGCTGACCTCTGTGACCTGATATGTCCCAGATGACCTCCAATTGAGCTCTCTGCTAACCGCAAGTTGACTTCTGTGACCGGACGTGTCCCATATGACCTCTGTGACCTCTAAGTGATTTCTCTGATGACCCCAAGCTGACCTCTGTGACCTGACGTGTCCCAGATGACCCCCATGACCTTCAATCGAGCTCTGTGATGACCCAAGTTGACCTCTGTGACTTGACGTGTCCGAGATGACCTCCGTAACCTCCAATTGAGCTCTTTGATGATCCTAAGCTGATTTCTGTGACCTGACGTGTCCCAGATGACCCTCAATTGAGCTCTATGATGACCCCAAGTTGACCTCTGTGACTTGACGTGTCCCATATGACCTCGGTGACCTCAAGTGACCTCTCTGATGACTCCAAGCTGATCTCTGTGACCTGACATGTGCCAGAGGACCTCCAATTGAGCTCTCTGATAACCCCAAGTTGACCTCTGTGACCTGACATGTCCCATATGACCTATGTGACCTCTAAGTGACCTCTCTCATGACCCCAAGCTGACCTGTGTGACCTGACGTGTCCCAGATGACCTCCGTGACCTCCAATTGAGCTCTGGTGACTCCAGGCTGACCTCTGTGACCTGATATGTCCCAGATGACCTCCAATTGAGCTCACTGATGACCCCAAGTTGACCTCTGCGACCTGACGTGTCCCATATGACCTCTGCGACCTCTACGTGACCTCTCTGATGACCCCAAGCTGACCTCTGTGACCTGACGTGTCCAAGATGACCCCCATGACCTTCAATCGAGCTCTATGATGACCCAAGTTGACCTCTGTGACTACTTGTCCGAGATGACCTCCGTAACCTCCAATTGAGCTCTTTGATGATCTTAAGCTGACCTCTGTGACCTGACATGTCCCAGATGACCTCCAATTGAGCTCTCTGATGACCCCAAGTTGACCTATGTGACCTGACATGTCCCACATGACCTCTGTGACCTCTAAGTGACCTCTCTCATGACCCCAAGCTGACCTGTGTGACCTGACGTGTCCCAGATGACCTCCGGGACCTCCAATTGAGCTCTGATGACTCCAAGCTGACCTCTGTGACCTGATATGTCCTAGATGACCTCCAATTGAGCTCACTGATGACCCCAAGTTGATCTCTGTGAACTGACGTGTCCCATATGACCTCTGCGACCTCTAACTGACCTCTCCGATGACCCCAAGCTGACCTCTGTGACCTGACGTGTCCCATATGACCTCCACGACCTCTAAGTGACCTCTCTGATGACTGCAAGCTGACCTCTGTGACCTGACGTGTCCAAGATGACCCCCATGATCTCCAACAGAGCTCTGTGATGACCTTAAGTTGATCTATGTTACCTGACGTGTCCCAGATGACCTCCGTAACCTCCAATCGTTCCCTTTCGAACAGCCAGGACTCCCACGACCACGACCATGGCTCCAACTGGTGGTGGTGGACGACCCCCTCTTGCTGAAAACACGCCTTCTGTCTCCAGCCTGGCACCGGTAAGACATTTCAGTAACACTGAATCATGAATAGGTTCTGAATAGCTTATGCGTATGCCTCCTTGATGTACCACATAGCTGCATTTGATCTATGAATAATCAGCAGATGATTCAGGCTGTCATCTGTAACTTTTTTGGGTTAAGTGGTTATTTTGGTCTCAGACATACCCATCGTTCTATGCAACTACACTTCTACTTTGAAAAATGGAAAAATTGTTGTTTTATAATAGTTATATAATCAAAAAAGTAAGAGTTGTTTGAGCCTTTACCTTTTGACTGCTCGTTGTCATGTGTGGATATGATTGACCCCTTTGTGCCCTCACTTCAACACTGTAAATGTTTTGTCCCTTTCGAACAGCCAGGACTGAGCTCACCTTTTGCATTTTTACTACTTGAATCATGTTTTCTTTTCACCTGTAGGGCATTTTGGAGGCATCCAGAGGAGGGCATTCGCCAGCGAAAAATATCTTCTGGCTATCTTCACTTTTACACCTGGAGGGAAAGCCAAAGAACCAAAAACAGCGTTTGGCAGCTGCAGCAAGGGCGAGTGCTCTCCGACGAAGTTTCATCAGAGGCGGGACTTTCCAAAGGTATGTTTTCAATACCTATGCAGTTTATGTTTTCCGTTGCTTGTTTTATGTATTGCCTACTTCAGTTTAAACGATTTTTTAACAGAAGTTTGTTTTAAAGCGAAGTTATGAAACGACGTTAATATTAACGTCGCTACAAACGTCCTTTTATGTTTTTTTTTTAATGTCTTCCTTTTCCTGGTTCCTAGGCAAGTGATGAAGCTCTTCGCGCCTGAGCCTTCGTCCAACCTACCAGCCATATCCACCAATCCAACCACTCCGATCCCGAGGTTCTGTGTTCTGCCGACCGGACTGGTTGTGGCGGAACCAGGCATAGAACTAGACTTTGCGCCGGAGTTTTGTCAGAAGCTGCGCCCGGAGCCGTGCCCGGAGTCGTGCCCGGAGTCGCGCATGGAACCGAGACCGGATCTGCACCCGGAGCCGCGCATGGAACCGAGACCGGAGCCGCGCCCGGAGCCGCGCATGGAGATGGGACCGAATCCGGAGCCGTGCTCGGAGTCGGAACCGAGACTGGAGACGCGCCCGGAGCTGCGCCCGGAGACACGTCCGGAGACGCGCCCGGAGCCGCCCGAGGAGCTACGCATGGAGCTGGGACCGGATCCCGAGCCGTGTTCGGAGCCGGAACCGAGACTGGAGACGCGCCCGGAGCCGCGTCCGGAGCCGCGCCCGGAGTCGCGCACGGAGCCGCGCCCGAAGTCGCGCACGGAGCCGCGCCCGGAGTCGCGCACGGAGCCGCCCGAGGAGCTACGCATGGAGCTGGGACCGGATCCCGAGCCGTGTTCGGAGCCGGAACCGAGACTGGAGACGCGCCCGGAGCCGCGTCCGGAACCGCGCCCGGAGTTGCGCACGGAGCCGCGCCCGGAGTCGCGCACGGAGCCGCGCCCGGAGTCGCGTCCGGAGCCGCCCGAGGAGCTACGCATGGAGCTGGGACCGGATCCCGAGCCGTGTTCGGAGCCGGAACCGAGACTGGAGACGCGCCCGGAGCCGCGTCCGGAGCCGGAGCCGCGACTGAAGACGCTACAGGAGACGCCGATTGAGACGGAGACGTCGGCATTCGAATTTTCGCTCACAGAGGAAGAAGTGCCACAAGTCTTTTCCGGACACTCACTGAAGAAGGGATGGACGACTATGTTTGCCGCAGCATTTATTCGGTCCACGCCTGGGCCGAAATGCGTGCTGGCAATTCGCAGACGGCACCTCAAGAAAGATGGGTCCCGGAAGAACAAAACGCCGTTCCTCACGACTTTCGCTACCTGTCGATTCCCCGGCTGCCATCGGTACCGTTTCGTGGTCCGCCACCCGCCGGCGCCGGGGAGCCAAACCACCATCCACTGCCAGGTGTTCGGGTCTGCCAGCGCGGCTCATCAGAAATATTTTGCACACCGCCACCTGAGCGGAGAGCGCCGCCATGCCACCGCCGCTCTCGTCGACCAACAGGGAGCCTATCTCATAAGGCAAAAGATGTTGCAGCAGACACCCGATGCGCACCTGCTCGACGGAAATGTGACACAAGCACCGCCGGCTGCAGTTCTGCGCCAAGCTGCCTACGAGCGCCGCGCGACCGAGCGCTATTCTGCCGACTGGTCAGAGGACGTGGCCTCGACAATGGACGTGTCTCGATCCGAGGACGGGACAAGCAAGATCCTGAAGGGCGGCGTCCAGCTAATCGGCAAAGTGCCGCTGGTGGTACACTTGTACCGAGAACACTTCCTAAGGAAGTACCACCGAGCACCGACACCGCTCCACCTGGACGCCACCGGCTCCGTGACCCGCCAGGTCGGCGAGAAACAACCATTTCTCTATGCCCTCATCGCCGAGAGCCCCGAGGCAGAGACCAGAAGTTACCCGCTGGCACACCTCCTCGCGGAGAGCCATACTGTTCCCACAGTCGCACACTTCCTCTCCCAGCTGGCGCACGGCTACTGGCTGGTGACGAGAGCGACCCTGGAGCCTCCCCGCATCGTGACCGACTTCAGCTGGGCGCTGATACACGCCGTGGCGGAGGGTCTTATGAAAACGACGACCCTGGCCTACCTCGAGACGTGTTGGAAAGCCGTCAGCAACTCGGACCCGCGACCGGCCTCTCTCATCAGCCTGTGTGGAGCCCACATCTCTCACAGCTTTTCCAGCACGCTTAAGGGCAAGGGAGTCGAGGGAGCCGCAAAAATGGGCTACATGTGGCTGTTCGCCAAGATGCAGCAGGCGTCGTCCCTCCCGGCCCTAGACCAGTGCTTCAGGAAGTTGTGCATCCTGGCGATGTCAACTGAGTGCGTGGACCAGCTGGACCTGTCAGACTTGAACTCGGCGGCGGCGGCAGGGTCTGACGGTGATGCCGACGACGGTGAGATCGAGAAAGATCCCGTTCCCGAAGACGAGCACGCGAAGACTTACCGGGCACGGACGTCATTCGGGCGGTACTTTGAGGATGTCGCCAGACGTGCCCGAGAGGAGGACGTGAAGGCCTCGGTCAAACAAGTCACAAACCCGTACTTCTGTCCGGAGTTGGTGGAGTACCTGCTGCGAGCGGTCATGCCGCTAGCCCCACTGTGGAGCCAGATTCTTACAGACTGTGTGATCAGCAACGCAGCCGTAGAATCACACATGCGGGTCCTGAAAAAGCAGCTCCTGGTGGGACGAACACGTCTTCGGCCTGGCGATTTCGTGCGCCTCCTTATCAAGGACACCGCCTCCAAGATGAAGGACGACTTGGTGCCCACCCGGCCCGTCCCCAAGGGGAAAAAACGCAAAGCTCTCGACGCTCTGACGCACCCGGAGGCTCAGGAAGAAAACTGGGCGAAGCGAGACCACTCGAAGAGACCTACGTGGTACGCACGGGCAAGACCGCCGCAAAGCTGTTTGCCGGCGAATCTGCAGCCGAAGAAAACGCCACCGCTACCTCGACAGTGGCCTACCGGACAAGCGCGGCCAGCCACAGACCAGCTGCAGCGAGCGCGGCCAGCTACAGAGCAGCTGCAGCGAGCGCGGCCAGCCACAGACCAGCTGCAGCGAGCGCGGCCAGCTACAGAGCAGCTGCAGCGAGCGCGGTCAGCCACAGACCAGCTGCAGCGAGCGCGGCCAGCCACCGACCAGCTGCAACGAGCGCGGCCAGCTACAGAGCAGCTTCAGCGAGCGCGGCCAGCCACAGACCAGCTGCAGCGAGCGCGGCCAGCCACAGACCAGCTGCAGCGAGCGCCTCTACCAGGAAAGAAGACACCAGTCTCCAGGAAGTGGCTAACCGACGAGGATCTGGACCTGTTCAGCGAGTCGGTATCCTCTCCGCCGGTGCTGGCGCTGTCCGTGTTCTGGCGTCAGTGCATCGCGGCAGCATGTACACGCTGCACGGCGGTATTCTTCAGGCGGTTCGCCACACTGGACACCTGGCTGCTGCCGCTGAATGTCGGCAACCATTGGGTGTTGTTCGTGGTGAGCTGGCGCCACCAAGTAGTGGTGTTCTGTAACTCGATGGGCTGTTCGCCGGCTCAGAGCGACACCGAGGCGGTGCAGCTCCTCATGGAGGCGGCGGTGCCCCAGCTCAAGTGGGCCAGTTGGCGTCTCGTCGTCCCGGATACGCCGCAACAGGCTGACGGGTGGAGCTGCGGCTACCGAGTGTGCTGGCTGGTACACGCGACCGCGACCGGCAGCACTGCACCGTATTCCGCCGATTTTGAAGACAGCATCCTCATTCGGATACAGGTGTCAATTGATCATGACTTTAACCGAAGTAGTCCATATCGAGTCCCCACTCGTTCGTGTTACTCAAATATTCACCCATACACCCAATTCCGTACATCATAACGCACTTGTGTTGCATCAAAAGGCTTAACTAAAACTCTTGCTTTTAATCAGGGTATTTCCGTTTCCATGATCGGCTTATTGAATTCTGATTTTTATGCAGCTGTTGTTTTTTATTTTAATGGGCGTCGTTTGTATTAACAGAACAGTTAAAAGCAAACAGACACGTTCCCATAATTTGATGCTGTTTGGCCTTAACCGCTAGTTCATTTGTGTGTGTGTGTGTTCTCTGAACTGTTTTATTTTTTTTGTTACAGAAGGCGACAAAGCGGCCTGTAGCGCCGTTGCCTCTGTGCCGGTGCATGGAGATGGCCGAGCCTGCCTCTGGGCCGCCGGCAGTGCTGAGACTGCAGAGGGTGCCAACGCCGGCCAACCTATACCTGGCTGCTCTCCGCTAATACGGTATGACTGAATTTGAATTTTAATAATAAAAGTAGTCATAGTACTTACGACTTACTGAATATGACCGGTGCATATCAAAATCATCTTCAATGGCGGACGCGCGCGTTGCCATGCTTTGCTTTGTTTGAATGACTGGTTGAATATAACTTACGAAGGATTAATGACTTGACCTGGGAGTATTTCACGGATTTCACAACGTGAGACTATAAGAAGACTTAATGAAATTTGATATCACCATATCACGCTACACATTAGTTGAATAGTCTGCTTGTGGGTTGACTTCAACCTCACTGACGTCAATATCATCGAAAAGGGCGAACGGGAGGTGGGGGAAGCCTGGTATGCCCACGATGATGCATCGTCATTTCTCTCACCTTTTGTGCAGAAATTATTTGAGGGTTTGCACGAACAAGCTACGGATGACGAAAGTGATTGACGATATTAAATATTGTTGACAGTGACGGTCTTCTGCTGTGGACAGATGTCGCGGATTTTATGCCTGGCCTGGCCGACTCGCCCAGCTACGGCGGCACGCTGTCTCTTTGCGGCCCGCTGCGGCGGCTGCTGCGCGCCGCGGACGATGCGCGCGCGGCTGCGGCGGCTGGCCGCCCGGTGGCTGCCGTTTGAACCTACGTGCGTGCGCCGACTGGACAGGAGCTGGGACCGGCGGCTCACCACTCTGCACATGGCCGAACTGTGCACTGCCACCGACCGAGGGCTTGGTAACATATTGTTTCTGGAATGTTCACGGGTTCCACCCCTGCTCAAAGACTTAATAAGTGCGCCGAAACTCGTCAGCATCTTGGGAACTACACCGGAGTGCACCTGCTGCGGCTGCTGCTCGGACCGCCGTGCACTCTGAACGTCCGTAACCTGGTGTGGCACGGCTTTCTGGTGCTGGGGCTCGCTACGCGCCCTCTGCGGGGACGCCGTGCTCTGTCAGCTCTGCGACCTGCTCGTGTGGCCGGCCGGGCCGCGGCTGCGCGACCGGCTGGCGCACGGCGAGGTGGAGCCGGCGCGACTGCCGGCGCCGCTGGCGCACCAGCTGCTCTGGCTGGTCGGTCAGCTGCTGGTCACCACCGCTGACTGGGCGGAGCGGCAGCCGGCGCCGGCCGGCGGCACAGCGCAGCACTCTGGGGACGGGGCCGAGCAGCTCTAGACTAGCAGCGGCTCGTGGTTAACTGGTCCGACCTGGAGCCAGCCGGCCATCAGAGAGCTGGAGGCAGCTGATGATTGTGAAATGAGTGAGTTGGACAGCTGTGCCACGCTGTCAGACTCCCGTCGACTGCGACGAGTGTGGGACTCGCACGGGCTGTGTCACTGACCAAAATACTCTTTTTATGTGTGGTGACCGGTCAGACTATTTGACACAGACTAGCCAGGGTGTGTCACGAACTTCTGACAGTGAACGCCAGTCAGTGCTTAGATGTGGGGACGCGTCCATCGAATCGAGCGACGCTGATGCACCGTGTGACAGTGTGCGTTTTCCGGGCGAGTTCGTTGCGCTGTGTGCCGGTCGTGCGCGGGACTGGTACCACCCGTCGTTCCACCAGTTCTCAGTGCTGCAGCGCGCCGTGCGCGATCTCAGTGCCGCCGCCGAGGAGACTGTGCGCCGCGAGGTGCCGCCCGAGGACCGGCCGGCGCTGACCCGGCTGGAGCCGCTGGCTGACGGCGCGCTGTCGCTGCGTCCGCCGACCCTGCGCCGGCCGCGCCGGGAGGCCGAGCTGCAGCAGCTGGTGGTGGCCCTGGACGGCGCCTGCCCCCTGGTGGCGGGTGGCAGCTGCGGGAGCCACGTGACGCCGTCTGCGCTCTCGGCAGCGCGCCATCTGGGGCCGCATGCAGACCGCGTTGCCAGAGCTGCGTCGTCTGACGTCGGGTCTGCTGCGACTGGTGACGCGCCAGAGGACGCGCTGGTCACCGCCGCGAGCCCGGATCGAGACGGACACGGAGACAGTTCCGAACGGAGCCTCCCTCACCAGGTGGGTCCTGCGGCGCCAATACTCGTCCGCAGGTGGGGCGAGATGGATAGGTATCTGAGCACTTGGGAGGGCAGTTGTCGGGTGATGACCCACGAGGTCACGCAAAGTAAGGGGAAGTAACATGAGTATGGAAGTGAAACCGCTTTATTGCGATGACCTCATGTGACCTCACCTAACTTTCGTGTGACCTCTCCGACCGTAGGACAATGCGTGATCTTGTTTTGTTTGTTTTGTTTGCTCGGTTTTATTGAATGTTTTCACATGTGTAGACATCATACACTACAGTCTGGGATCGGTGCAAAAGCCTTTCAGCTTATTTCATGGCACATCTCCCTCACACATACTAGCTCATCCACACGTCATTCACGACAAGAAAAAAAACTTGTTTGACTTTGTGGGGCGTCGCCAGACTTATTATAAGCTCATCTGACCTCTACTGATTCCTTGTGATCTCATATGACCTCTAGAGACTTCGCATGACCACGTGAGCTTTCCTCAACCTTTTATCTCGCTGAGCTTTGAGTGGCTTCTCCCACCCTCGCCTGACTTCCTGTGACCTCGTAGGACCCGTCGTCTTCGTGTGACTTCTTGTGACATTCGTTTGTTTTCCTGTGACCTATACCGACTTTTGTGACTTCGCCTAGCTGTAACCTCGCTCCTGTCAGCTTGTCAGCTCCCGTAAGCTCATTGCAGCTCCCGTAAGCTCCTGTTTTGCTCCTGTCAACTTCCGTGGACCTCTTGCAGCTCCCGTAAGTTCCTTTTAGCTCCTGGCAGCTCATGACAGCTCATGACAGCTGCCGTAGGCTCCTGGCAGCTCCTGTCAGCTCCCGTAAGTTGTATATCTGATCCCACCCTGACCATATTCCTGCCCTCACTTTCTTTGACCGTCCATTGTTCGTCGGTCGCCAGGAGAGCTTGACGCTGCTGCGAGCACTACCGGGCTACTAGCGGTACGTCACGTGCTGCTGGTTTTCTAGAGACGGATGTTTGCTGATATTAGGCTGTTAAGACTGAGCTGTGATGCTGTGGCCGGTGGAAGTGCCGGCGCCGTGGACCCGACGCCCAGCGCTCCGCTTCGCGCTGCTACCACACAGGTAGGGTTCGGCACACCGACTCCCGATGGCTACGTGGACAGTGAAAATATTGCAATGTTATGGTACAGGTAGAGTGACCGATCCGTTCTTTGTCAGGTCTCTGAATGGAGCTGCGTTCCGGTGGGCGGCTGGCTGCGCTCTCTCGGTCTGGCCCAGTACGCCGACGCGTTCGTCGCCCGCTCTGTGGATGGCGCCCGGCTTCTGGGGCTCACCGAACAGGCTATGGAAGACGAGCCCGACGTCGGTGAGAGATTCACATTGCTAGCTGAGAAGGTGGATGTGACTTGAATTATTCAGTTCATAGCCTGATTTACTTTGCTTAATCTATTTATATGAATCGCATTGCCACCATTAACCTGACTCCTGACTCGTGATTGTGGTTGCCTCAGTTGTAGGCCTAAGTGCACCGCATTTTGACAGGTCTCGACGTGGCGACCTCGAAGCCAGCGTGTTGGGTCTCGGCTTCCCGCCACTCACCGGCGGACCTTTCCGCTTCGTGGACCGCATCGGTCCCGCACAGCTAGTCAAGGACATGGAGCGCTTCGCCGTCGTCAGTGGCGTCGGCTTCGAGCCGTGCCTGACCGTGCACTACCAGGCCGCTAGCGGCACCAAGTTCTGTTCGGCCGGGCCTCGTGTAATGTCCACATGTGATGACCGAGAGTATACGCATGTGAAGCCGCTCCGCGCGTGTGCCAGCGCTGGGCGTGTTCAGTTTCACAGTTAATATATAACCCTGGTGATCAAGCTACAGTTTTTGAAGAGAAATAGAGTGAGACCATCTTGAAAGCGATCAGACGGTAGCGCCGCCGTTCTTTGGCACGCCTTAGCATGCATCTGTGCGACACTAAAAGTTAAGGCTCAAGTCTTTCAAGGTCAGCAGGGTGAGGGCACCAGGCAAGTGGCCTCGTCTCAGGTGGAGTTCTAATACTCGTTCTAATACTACCAACACACGTATCTAGTCAAGGAGCTGAGTTGGAATCGAGGGGATGGGGGGGGGGGCTGTTCAGCCCCTTCACTGGGGGGTTCACGGTTCAGCCCCTCCCCCATCAGGCGCGAAAATCTAGGAGCCCCAGCGTGGAGTGAGATAGCCTTTTCGACGGCATGTGATGGGGCATCGCATCGAATGACACTGGGCGATTGAAAGATATTTCAACTCGCTTGTCAAGGCAAACATTTATTCACAACGAAAACAGACATAGGCACATGTGGATTGCTAATGGATAATGGATAATGGCAACGGGTAACACCCAGGTCGTGCGCCGTCTGCCGGAGAGCCAGCGGCTGGTGCGTCCCGAGCGGGGTCGCCACAGACGCCGTCCGTCACCCAGACAGCCGGAGACCGGCGGACCGGCCGGGACGCCTAACGACAGACACACCGACCCCTCATGGCTATGTAGCGGGCTACCAGTGAGAGGTCACGGAAAGGTCAGCTCATAATGTGCACGGCGTGACATACAGTGTTGTTAATGTCATCCCGCGGTCGCCGGTCAGTGAAAAATTGGACAATGACATTTCGCCGTCAAGACGAGCTCTACTGTCTACAAGACACAAGTAGTCTACATACTGTCTGCTACCGAAACTACTGTCGAGCTAACAGTAAGAAATTACACAGGTCTAGATGCAATTTTCAGCGATGAACTTCGGTAGTACATCGCTGTGCAATTGCAATCACAAGATATTCTTGTTCATACATATCGTATTATCGGCATGGCACTCGCTCGTTATCACGCTTACGTGGGCATACGGTAGCTCAAGGAAAATATGGATAATCGTAGAGGCCGGTATCAAAGAAATCCAGTGAGCACGAACACGCAGTACACGTGGGTGCTTTCTAGTTTCCTGGACGGTCACGCTTAGTGTAGCTTAGCTCGGCCTTAAAAGATCATCACGGACACCGGGCTACGCGGCATTACATATATACCACCAGCAGACAGGATTTGATCTCCGGCAGACAAGCTTCTATCGGTGCCCCGCGCCGTCTCTCAACAATCGTCCACAGGTAGTCCTGTGCACTGAGACGCTGTCACGACCGCGTCGTATCGCGACTGGAAGCCAGCCCACTGCCCGGTCTCTGCCGCGTCTCCGGCGGTTGGGACCTGTGCCGGGGGCGCCTCCTCCAACAGATTAGTGGCCATGGCCACCTGTAGCAAACCGCGGCAGCGGCGGTCGCCCACGGGTCGCCGTGTCCACCTCCATAGAGATGTGCGCCGGCGCACTGTCGTCGCCGCCGCCGGCATCCTGCGGGAAGGATAAATACATGTCCGGTCAGAGACTGGGGATCAACACTGGTATGTACAAAATTTGCCTATAGGACCCGCGACACCGGCACGTGAAGAGAGAGAGAAAGAGAGAGAGAGAGAGGAGAGAGAGAGATGGGGGTCGTCTGGGACACGTCAGGTCACAAAGGTCAACTTATGGTCATCGCAGAGCTCAATTGGGGCCCTTCTGGGACACGTCAGGTCACAGAGGTCAGCTTGGGGTCATCAGAGAGGTCACTTAGAGGTCGCAGAGGTCATATGGGACACGTCACGTCACAGAGGTCAACTTGGGGTCATCAGTGAGCTCAATTGGAGGTCATCTGGGACATAACAGGTCACAGAGGTCAGCTTGGAGTCATCAGAGCTCAATTGGAGGTCACGGAGGTCATCTGGGACACGTCAGGTCACACAGAACAGCTTGGGGTCATGAGAGAGGTCACTTAGAGGTCACAGAGGTCATATGGGACATGTCAGGTCACAGAGGTCAACTTGGGGTTATCAGACAGCTCAATTGGAGGTCATCTGGGACATATCAGGTTACAGAGGTCAGCTTGGAGTCATCAGAGGTCACGGAGGTCATCTGGGACACGTCAGGTTACAGAGGTCAGCTTAAGGTCATCAAAGAGGTCACTTAGAGGTCGCAGAGGTCATATGGGACACGTCAGGTCACAGAGGTCAATTTGGGGTCATCAGTGAGCTCAATTGGAGGTCATCTGGGACATATCAGGTTACAGAGGTCAGCTTGGAGTTATCAGAGCTCAATTGGAGGTCACGGAGGTCATCTGGGACACGTCAGGTCACAGAGGGCAGCTTAAGGTCATCATAGAGGTCACTTAGAGGTCGCAGAGGTCATATGGGACACGTCACGTCACAGAGGTCAACTTGGGGTCATCAGTGAGCTCAATTGGAGGTCATCTGGGACATATCAGGTCACAGAGGTCAGCTTGGAGTCATCAGAGCTCAGTTGGAGGTCACGGAAGTCATCTTGGACACGTCAAGTCACAGAGGTCAGCTTAGGGTCATCAGACCGGTCACGTAGAGGTCGCAGAGGTCATATGGGACACATCAAGTCACAGAGGTCAACTTGGGGTCATCAGTGAGCTCAATTGGAGGTCATCTGGGACATATCAGGTTACAGAGGTCAGCTTGGAGTCATCAGAGGTCACGGAGGTCATCTGGGACACGTCAGGTTACAGAGGTCAGCTTCAGGTCATCAGAGAGGTCACTTAGAGGTCGCAGAGGTCATATGGGACACGTCAGGTCACAGAGGTTAATTTGGGGTCATCATTGGAGGTCATATGGGACACGTGAGGTCACAGAGGTCAGCTTGGAGTCATCATAGCTCAATTGGAGGTCACGGAGGTCATCTTGGACACGTCAAGTCACAGAGGTCAACTTAGGGTCATCAGACCGGTCACGTAGAGGTCGCAGAGGTCATATGGGACACATCACGTCACAGAGGTCAACTTGGGGTCATCAGTGAGCTCAATTGGAGGTCATCTGGGACATATCAGGTTACAGAGGTCAGCTTGGAGTCATCAGAGGCCACGGAGGTCATCTGGGACACGTCAGGTTACAGAAGTCAGCTTAAGGTCATCAGAGAGGTCACTTAGAGGTCGCAGAGGTCATATGGGACACGTCAGGTCACAGAGGTCAATTTGGGGTCATCAGTGAGCACAATTGGAGGTCATATGGGACACGTGAGGTCACAGAGGTCAGCTTGGAGTCATCAGAGCTCAAGTGGAGGTCACTGAGGTCATCTGGGACACGTCAGGTCACAAAGGTCAGCTTGGGGTCATGAGAGAGGTCACTTAAAGGTCAGAGAGGTCATATGGGACATGTCAGGTAACAGAGGTCAACTTGGGGTTATCAGAGAGCTCAATTGGAGGTCATCTTGGACACGCCAGGTCAGAGGTCAGCTTGGGGTCATCAGAGAGGTCACTTAGAGGTCGCAGAGGTCATATGGGACACGTCAGGTCACAGACGTCAATTTGGGGTCATCAGTGAGCTCAATTGGAGGTCATCTGGGACATATCAGGTTACAGAGGTCAGCTTGGAGTTATCAGAGCTCAATTGGAGGTCACGGAGGTCATCTGGGACACGTCAGGTCACAGAGGTCAACTTAAGGTCATCATAGAGGTCACTTAGAGGTCGCAGAGGTCATATGGGACACGTCACGTCACAGAGGTCAACTTGGGGTCATCAGTGAGCTCAATTGGAGGTCATCTGGGACATATCAGGTCACAGAGGTCAGCTTGGAGTCATCAGAGCTCAGTTGGAGGTCACGGAAGTCATCTTGGACACGTCAAGTCACAGAGGTCAGCTTAGGGTCATCAGACCGGTCACGTAGAGGTCGCAGAGGTCATATGGGACACATCACGTCACAGAGGTCAACTTGGGGTCATCAGTGAGCTCAATTGGAGGTCATCTGGGACATATCAGGTTACAGAGGTCAGCTCGGAGTCATCAGAGGTCACGGAGGTCATCTGGGACACGTCAGGTTACAGAGGTCAGCTTAAGGTCATCAGAGAGGTCACTTAGAGGTCGCAGAGGTCATATGGGACACGTCAGGTCACAGAGGTTAATTTGGGGTCATCAGTGGAGGTCATATGGGACACGTGAGGTCACAGAGGTCAGCTTGGAGTCATCATAGCTCAATTGGAGGTCACGGAGGTCATCTTGGACACGTCAAGTCACAGAGGTCAACTTAGGGTCATCAGACCAGTCACGTTGAGGTCGCAGAGGTCATATGGGACACATCACGTCACAGAGGTCAGCTTGGGGTCATCAGTGAGCTCAATTGGAGGTCATCTGGAACATATCAGGTTACAGAGGTCAGCTTGGAGTCATCAGAGGCCACGGAGGTCATCTGGGACACGTCAGGTTACAGAAGTCAGCTTAAGGTCATCAGAGAGGTCACTTTGAGGTCGCAGAGGTCATATGGGACACGTGAGGTCACAGAGGTCAGCTTGGAGTCATCAGAGCTCAAGTGGAGGTCACTGAGGTCATCTGGGACACGTCAGGTCACAAAGGTCAGCTTGGGGTCATGAGAGAGGTCACTTAAAGGTCAGAGAGGTCAGATGGGACATGTCAGGTAACAGAGGTCAACTTGGGGTTATCAGAGAGCTCAATTGGAGGTCATCTTGGACACACCAGGTCACAGAGGTCAGCTTGGGGTCATCAGAGAGGTCACGTAGAGGTCGCAGAGGTCATATGGGACACGTCACGTCACAGAGGTCAACTTGGGGTCATCAGTGAGCTCAATTGGAGGTCATCTGGGACATAACAGGTCACAGAGGTCAGCTTGGAGTCATCAGAGCTCAATTGGAGGTCACCGAGGTCATCTGGGAGACGTCAGGTCACACAGGTCAGCTTGGGGTCATGAGAGAGGTCACTTAGAGGTCACAGAGGTCATATGGGACATGTCAGGTCACAGAGGTCAACTTGGGGTTATCAGAGAGCTCAATTGGAGGTCATCTGGGACAT